AAACGGTACGTGTGGGATGCTTAAAATGACTCACGGCGTGGAAATTCTCAACTTGCAGTGTAAGACAGACTTCAGGGTTTAGCTCGAAGTCCGGATTCACTTCACGCAAATTGTTATGAAGTTCTTCTAAGCCTTTCTCGACAAGTGCAGTTGACTTCACAGTTTTCGAGGCAACAGTACCGTCAGGTCCGTTCGTTGTCCTATCCGAGTTCAAGACTGCCTGTACTTCAGAAACTGTGGACTATACATAGGCAGAAACATCCTTCACCATTTGATGTGCCTCTTGAATTGTGTACTCCTCTCTTGGTTGATGCTTTAAATAGACTGAAAATGCACGATTGAACTTGCCGAGATTTTCTAGAAATTCGATTGTGCCTCTGATCGTCGTCACAAGTTTTACAGTGCCGATCTGACCATCAGTTACAAAGATGTTGGGGCACTCTGTGCACAAGCCCATTGGTTGTCCAAATGAAGCGTGGCTTCCAGATCCATTTCTGTTGCTTTCGACCCCTGTACCAGCAATTACCACAACATCGCCACCCCGTGCAAGCAATTTTACTTGTCTGCTGTCTTGATCAGTAAAAGCAATTCTGCCGTTTGGCAAAGGAGCAACTGAGGGAATAACCTTACACTCTTGACTATTGTTCCTGACAATGTTTTCACGCATAACGCTAGCTGCCAAGCTGAACTTTGCAAGACCCGTTTCATGTGCCAAGAAAAGAAAGTTATTAGAGAAGCACATGCTATGGACACTTTCACACCCCTCTGGATATTGGCATATTGCGACTACTTTACCGCAAAGGTAGTGCCCATTTGACTGGATTGCAAAGGAGAACACTTGTTTTGAAGAGTCGCAAGAACATGCAAGCATGTCATCACTGAGCCTGCAAATACTTGAGGGTTTTATTTCCTTATCGAAGGAAACCGTCCCGAAATCCTTTCCTTGACTCTGATAGGACTCTTTTTCTTTCTGAAGTTCAAATTGTAGTCTTTCTTTAAGCTCCTTTACTGTTCCTGTACACGATAGCACTCTCTTGCCCAATTCATCAACCAAAGATGCGCGATCTTTCAGTCGCGAGGGTCTCAATGTGATCGTGTCTTCCAAGTCAATTATCTTCAAAGCTCCTGTATCAACCTGACAAATTATCACTGTGCCCGTGCCATTAAGATAGCAAAGAGATCGAGCCTCTTGTAAGTCGGATTTCAGAATCTTAACTCGCACTGGGTTGTGCAGGTCAGCTTTTACGAGCCGGCAATTGGATTTCAAAGGGTTGTAGTCCAAGAACAGCAGTTTCCCATGTTGCCCACACGTTATGGCGACTGGATGAGGAAACATGTTACCAGCCTTGTTGGTTTCTGAAAAGCGGTACTTTTCAGGAATGATTTGGTGGACAACGTAATCGACCTCTTTTAAAGTGTTAATAACCTCAGGACTAGAAAGCCTTAGTAGCGGATCGACAGCCATGCGATCTTTATTTTGCACGTCATCGGCTTTCAGAAACCTTCGTAAGCGCTTTCGAATGTCTTCATTGCTTTTCCCTAGACCTTTGCTAACTGCGATGTCCGCGAGGCCCGTAAACTGCATAAGGTGGTGTTTAAAACTACGAAGCTCCTTGTGATCATTTTCCGAAATCGGCACATTAAACTTCTCTTTATGGAGTGGCTGACTTGAAGTTTGACCAGACTCCGTTGCCAAGAAAAAAGACACGACAGCTCTAACTGTTTTTTCCGACGAACTTTCCAAATCTCTAGTCGCTGCCATTTGCAAAAGATGCTAACGCGAAACGCTTAACTCTGTAGACACGTGTAGAGATAACAATTAGCTATATTAGCTTTATCACCATGTATCATGCTGCGCGCTTATTGTGAAATAATAATCTGTTAACTTGAGACTAGTTACATGCAGAAGCGTATCCTGCAGGCGTGACAAAAAAAAGGGCGAGTTAATACTGTATGTTTATCAATTCTGGTTTGTTTTTTTTATAAATGGATTCACGAGGATTTTGATTTTCACGTGTATTTCCGCCCGAATCACGTATCACGGTCCTCAAACAAGGCCGATCACGCGTCACGTTAGAGCAATAATTCACGGGTCACGACCAGATTTTGGCTGATTTCACGCGTCACGGGCGAATTTTTGCTCAAATCACGCGTCACGCACAACCCCTTTACCACCCTGATCGATCGACTGATCGGATCGATCTATCAGTCGCTCGATTAACGTATTGATTGATTGATTGATCGACTGATCGATTGATCGATTGATCGATTGATCGATCGATTGATTGATTGATTGATTGATTGATAATACTTTATCTACAAATAGGAATCTCAATAAAATTGTCGTTCTGTTCATGTCGGATCGCAGAATGTCACTTAAAGTATCAGCACACCCCAAAATTGACCATTTTTCAAAAAAATTGTGTTCCCCTTTTCAGATAGATCTTATGGTGTTCTTGCATTTAAAAGAATTATACGGACAAAAATTGATTCTAAGCAAAGTTATAAACGAAAAACGTTCCTTTACATTCATGGCCTCTAATTGATAAATGTCAACCGGTTGTCACGAGAAGTAAACTTGCATTAAAAAGTCGCGTGACAGAATGCGGCGTAGTTCGATTATCAAACGTGTGTGTTTGGTAGTCTACGAGCTGTTATATGTCGTCGAAGAAACGCAAAAGGTCGTGTCCCTTTGCAAATGCGAAGAAAGCACCACAGGGGAAAAAGGCCGGGGGAAAAACGTTTCAAAATCATTCGATCAGAACTGATGCGCTAGCTGCTAGTGAGAAAGGTTCCTGCTTCGAGCAGGAGAGGTTGCTTGCACTGGACGAGAAAGACGTTTGACATTCTCTAAGCATATCTCCCTTGGCGCGTTCTCCGTTCGAAACGGTAACAATAACATCTCAACTCAAACGGTTCCTCGTTGGTTTCCTTTACGTTGTTTGCGAGTGCGCTCTTTCCTTGTCTGCGGCATCTCTAAGCTAAGACGTTTTGAAAATCGGAAAGAAAAAACAAAATTGAAAATTATTTTCTTACTAACCTGGGCCGTGGTGGAATTCAGATCTTACAAAGGATGATACGAGCTCTATTGTTAAAGTAAAATGAGCCTTCACTTCTGGATCAACGCGTCATCGTTTCACACTTTCTGTGTACTTATCTCATCACACCGGAAGAACGCCCCAAAGTATATTTTCCTTCGTATCTCGAAACGAAAATTTCAGCGAGTGAAGCACGCATTTTGAGTTCGTTTCCGGCGAGTTTTCAACATTTCGTTGGAGGGAAATTTGGAGTTGGATTTGGAGAGAAATTTGGAGAGAATGTTGTCCGATAATCAGGCCAAAAAACTGTGTCGGGGAATTTTTATTTTTTTGCTTCTTTCAAACGTTATGACAATTTAAGTGAAAAGAATGCATGTTTTATCAACTCTCAAAGTTTAACTGCGTATCAAAAACAAATCAGACAAGTAATCAACACTGATTCCCGACATCGTTTTTTAGAGAAAGGTGTCAAGAAGACATAGCGATGTTAATCGCGTCCTCCCGCTCAAATCCAGTCGGAAACGAGCTTGATTAGTGAACCTCTGTATTTTGGGAAATAGGGCGCTATATTCGGCAAACCTTAATTTTAATGAATATACCTTCGAAATCTACAATGCTGAAGCTTTCAGAAAATACATACATTACTGGGGTTTGCGTCAAACGTCCGACCGTAAAGCGGCGCCAACGAATGATGCTCACTTGGAGTATATACTGATCGTCACGAGTATAGAACATTCCTACCAGGGTGGGGGAGGGGAGGGACACATACCCATGACCTTTCGC